ACACACACACAAAACACACACACACACACACACAAACACAAACACACACACACACACACGCACACACACAAACACACACACGCACACACACAAACACAAACACACAAACACACACACGCACACACACACCCTCAAAAACAGCGACAAAAAGAAAAGCCCCAGTGCCTCAGGGAAGAGTAACACATGCTCGTCATTAAAGTTCATAAATAATTCCTGATCACATGTGGGAGGTGCTGTTTCCCAAAGCTCTGATTGTTAGCCCTGCAGGGGGTGTTTTTGTTTTTTCTGATACTTCTGTCAGAAATATATATTGCAATATATACGTTTTTAAGGATTTTTTTTTTTTTAAATTAAGACATCAAAAGACATGCAAAGGAAAACATTTTTTAGTGTTTAGATCTTTATGACTCATAGAGTGCTTCAAACACCTGTCCTGTAATAATATAAGGAAATTGATGATGAGGATGAACCCAAAACATACACATACACATGTGGTCAGACAAGATAAACAAAGTCTCTATAACATAAGATAAACACTCAGTCATTAAGTCCAAAATGCAATAAGAAGTAATATATACATCTTTATTGGTCCCTACCAAATGCTCAACACTGTTGATTTACTATGTTATTATTGTATAAACTTGCCCCACAAAAACTAAAAAAAGAGAGGAGAAAGTATAGATACCATGACGGCTATAATTCAGATATAAATTAGCATAACTTCATAATATTCTTCCAAAAGCAAGTTTCAAAAAGTTCTTTTAAAACTGAATAACAGGTGAACATTGCTGTAGGTCCACATGTAAACTGTTCCACAGTTTCACTCCAAAAGTTACAGTTTTTACAGCCGCTAGGACACATTTCTCAATACTTAGGTCACTTTTGCAAAACTCTTCACACAATCCTCCTAACTGACCGTCAGCTTGGCAAAGCAGTTCATTTCACATTCAAAATGCACTACAACTACCAAAACACTTTATTCAGGTCTCAAATAAACTCATGCTTCCAGAACACTAGCAAAGGTTGACAGCCGACAAACACACTTTGTCACCCACAAAACGATGACCTAAAAACACTAACAACATGTAGCATTACAGTGTTTTCTTGTGTAAAACAAGGACACATCTCTGTTTATAATTTCAATATATGTTACTGGAATGAATCAGACATCATGCAGAATTCGTTAATATTTGTTTATGTATTTTTAGTTTTTTGCACTAAGAAATCCCAAAATACAAGAATTTGTATACACACCATCCACTGATACACATACAATAGTAATGCTAATCTACTCGGTCTTCTCCATTTGGCCACAGGTTCTCATCCACATCACATCTTATGTCATCTAGGGCAACACACCTAGGAAAGAATCTTCTGGCTGCCAGAATTGAAGGAGTTGAACAATTGAAGGAGTAACACCTGTGTAGATGTTCATCTACAATGAGAATCAGCTGTGGCTGGTTAAACTGCATTTTTAGATTTAAAATATGTTTCAATGAAATATTGCTGTTGGATTTTGCTGTCTTTTCAAGTTTTGCATTGTGTTATTGTTTTGACCATAAGTTTAACATTTTTGAAAACAGTATGTAAGCACATGCAAAATGTCCTGTACGTACAAAGATTTTTGGCAGTTGTTGTGTCTGAGTGAGAAAATAATTCATGAAATTTGAGAGATGTAGTCATTGAATGCATTTTGTGCCAAAACAATGATAACTGATCCTCAGTTTAGCCCACATAGACTTCTGTTGTGCTCACTGTGTGAGGAGTTTTGCAAAAGTGACCTAAGTATTGGGAAATGTGTCCTAGCGTCTGTAAAAAACTGTAATCCTGGCAGCCGTTTTCGTCAAGCTTAATGCTGCTGTACATTAACACAGTACAGCACATATGCTTTGGTCTTATTATGGGACTCTCTGCAAAACGAAATAAAACACCGGTCTGTATCCAACTGGCGTCAGTGGAACATTCCACATCCTCCAGTTACAAATAAGGATAAACTTGCAACTATTATCACATTTACTTTGGATCTTTTTCTCAGGCTAAGTAAATCATAAATTACTGTTTGTGAAGTGATGAAGTGTAAATGTGCTGGATCTAGCTCAGAAAGTAGAAGAGGTCATCTGTGCTTTGATTGCTGGCTGATACAGTCTGCATGCCAAAATATCCTTGGGCACAATGCCAAATCCTGATGTGTTCATCCGAGTGTGAATGTTGATAGAAAGCAAAAATGTTTGTGAGAATGAGGATAAAGTAGTATAAATGATTTTTATAGAGCAGAAATTCACTATATAAGAATCAGTCAGTTTAAATGATTATTATTGAATGAAAATGATTTAACTTTTTAGCATTATTCATTAAGTGTTTTATTTGCTCATTATCTGGAAGAAAGATCGGCGTTTGAGGTGCATTAAATACACGAGTGTTCGAGGGGTTTTACAGCCTTAAAACATCTGTAATAATTGTAAAAAATAAAGTTGGCTACTTTGCGGATTTCACCTATGGCAGGTTATAAGATAAGATAACCTTTATTAGTCCCACACGTGGGACTATTTTTAGAACGTAACTCCCGCGATAAACGAGGGACCACTGTACATGACATAAACAATTTCAAATGGCTTCTTTCTGCCCTCGAACAGTATTTACAGCAGCAATACTTTAACTTTTCTTTGGACTTTGTCTCTCTTTTCATTTCTGAATTTAGCCTCTTAAAAGTGCCAAAGATACCATAAGAAATGTGGCATGTAAATGCCCAATGTTTATGCATTTATTTCAGTTTGGCTAAGATTTTAGGCCAAATTAGTGGTTCAAATTTGCAGGATGTACAGAGGAGGTCAGGACAGAGGTCTACAGCCATCTGTAAAACATCCTGGAGGCTCTATCGTGGTTTGGGGCTGTATTTCAGCCAGTGGTGTTGGAGAGCTTGTTAAAATGTGTTTAATTATAAATGTACAAAGCTGCCATCAGATTTCCCATCAGTGGCTTTGTTCTTCAGTATGACAGATCTCACACAAACAATAACATCAATTTAATGGCATTTGCTATAAGAAGCAAACCGACAAACCTGTGAATTATGGTGACATCAGCTTATAGTTTGAGGAATTGCGGAGTACGCCGCAAACCAGGAGCGCTCTTTCAGAATTGTTCAGAAACTAATTTTAAATATATTCCTACACCACGTAGCCTTACCCGTTGACATGGGCAAGCCAAATAAGAAAGCAACTCAAGCTCCAGCGGATGATGGTCTCTCTGAAGATTTGGGACATTTGATATAAGGATGTGTGGAGTGTGTTTCACTCCATAAGCAACTTTTGTGTTTTTAGTTCATTCACTCATGTTCACAATATAGTTCAAGGAGAAGCTAAGTGTTTAGGAGTTCCCCCCTTTGTTTTGGGTGAATGGTAGTGAATGTTGAATATAGACAGATAAAGCAAAAATCACAGTATCACTTTTTTACTCAAACAAAAGCAGGTTGGTGAGGTTTTCTATTCAAATTTTACTGCTAAAGCCAGGGGTGCTGCTACAAAAAGATGTGACTTTTCAGTCAGAGGAAAGAATTTCAGATCCAGCAAGGTGTTATGTAATCGTTTGGGGTCACTTGTTCTCAACTCCTTTTATTTTACAATCAGTATACGCTCAATGATTCAATTCAATTTATTTACACAGCGCCAAATACAACAACAGTCGCCTCAACAGTGTTGTTCTAAGTGCTCCATGTTGGGATAATGAGGATTTTTTTCACTAAGCTGTTCACTACTTTGCCTAATCATAACAATTACAACATCAAAGTAGGAGATGACTTTAATAGCGTCCTTTACCCTACACCGTAAAATCCAATTAGTTATCGTTACTTAAAAAAAACATGCAAACCGTTTGCAATAAAAAAAATTAAGGTGTTACATACCTTAAATAGTTCATATGGGGAAGAACAAAACTATGCTGACGAGTGCAAAGTGGCTTCATTCAGTGAGCGCAGAAACCTGAGAAGGTTAATGACTGTCAGTGTATCGCACATATGTGTGGATGAATTTACATAGATCTAGTCTCTAGTATGAACCCATGGGCTAACAGTTTGAGTGAAGAGTCTTAATGTAGTAAACAATAGATAAGAACTGAACAATTAAATCCACTTATTGACAAGTGAGATTTGCCAAATGTCATCGGTGGAGGCGATGTTGTACACCTTTGATATGTTGTCCAAACGAGCTCATCACAGGATTATGGTGGGAAACCGCCCAAACTGGCCTTAACCCTTTAAAACCGGTCAGAGCGGGCACGCTCCGTTTTGCGCAACTACTTTTAAATCCCGGTAGCACTGCAACCACGTAAGCTAGCGCAATAATTTTTTTTGCATATGAAACCAGAGGAGTTGTACTTACATCTTATGCCATCAGCTTGTCCTCGGTCACGGTTTCCTTCCACATATAGCTTTGCAAAAACTGCATAAAAAGCACTTGCAGCAACAAAAACAATATTCCAGAAACACACTTTGCCGATCCGATCAGCTGCTTGTAACACTTCCTATGTTGGAATAGACGTCCGCCATGACCTGCCTGAAACCGGAAGTGACGTCATTTTCGCGAAAATGTCGTTTTTTACCATCAGGGCCTCATGAGCCTATACTGGTGTTTTTTAAAAGTTATGTTTGACTTTATGACTTTCTGTGTCGTTTCTGCGATGCTTAGGACTCATATTGCACTGCTGGAAATAGTTTATTTTGATGCATATGCTGCTTTTTGCAAATTTGCATCATAATATTTATTTTCGTTTTTCCTGCAGTATATAAGAATTGGTGTATTTAAAAAAAAAAACTATGAAGACACTCAAAATAAATTTCCTGTGGTGGGAAACTATTTTGTGCATGTTAAGTCTCCCCTGCTTTTCATGTATTTCATGTCTGTGGCTTATGTTGTCAGTTCAGGTTGTCATGTCTATATCTCACTGTGTTTCCTGTTTTATTGTGAAGAGGTCTGGTGTGTCTGTGTTCATCATGTTCAGTTACTCACCCCTTGTGACGTAATTATGTTCATGTGTCAGCTGGGTTCCCCAGGTGCTGCCACTTCCCTCATTATCCTCCTGTGTCCATTTAGTCTGTGTGCTCTCAGCCATTCTTTGTCAGGTCGTCCGTTGTATTCACCCGTTGTATTCGTCCGTTGTTTCCTATGACTCAGCTCCAGGTATCCCTGTCAGTTTGTTATGTTTAGAGTTTTCTATGTTTTGTTTTAGTTCACCCAGTTTAGGTCATTGTTTAGTTTTCATCGATTCCCTATTATTTTGTACCCTCGTTTCTTGCCTTAATAAACGGCTTGTTTTGTTATTCACATCTCATTTCGGTCTGCGCTTGAGTCCTTCCCTGCAACATACGGTCTGCCCTAGCCAGACCGTGACAGTACGACCTGACCAGTATGGACTCAGCAGACCGCGAGCTCTACGAGCGTCGGGAGGCAGCCTTCGCCCAGCTGGAGGAGGAGCTCCGCTGGAAGCCGTGGCGCGCCCCGACTATGAGCGGATTTTCCACGGGACTCGGCTAGCTCTCGGAGGTCCCAAGAGCTGCCGTAAGTCCCCGCCTGTTTCCAAGCCTCGTCCGCTTCAAGTGGGAGTTTTTCGCATGGCTACAAGCGCTCACGCTCCAGCCTCGTTGTCGCCGTGTTGTGCACCGGGGGCTCAGTCGCTCGCTCCGCCGGCTTCCTCCGCTCGAAGGAAGCGGCGCGCCCGTCGCCATAAACTGGACAATGCCGAGCTCACGGTGGTGAGTGACATTGACTTTTATTCTCACGTCCCGTCTGACATTAAAAGTAATCAGCTCACTTCTGATCCGTGGGGAACTTCCCTTATGGATGACGACGTGGACTGGGAGGATCCGTTTTGTTTTACTCCCTCTACACAGGGAGGGATGAAAGACAATTCCCGCTCGCCTAAGTCTGCACATACGGTTAAGGGAAAGACTGTTAATTACGTTACCAGGACAAACACACTCGGTTCCGCTTCCGTCTGTTCAGGTTCTGTCAGGTCCGTTTCAGTTATCCCTGAGTCAACCCGCTTTGCTACCACTAACCCACGGATTTCGAAAGCTGTTAAAACTAGGACTGCAAATGCTAAGACTGCTAAACATGAAGTGGACGGCGGGTTCATTTTTGATAGATCCGTTTTTTGTCGACCCTGTATGTGTTGACCCTGAGCCTGCCGTTTCTGCGACTGTTTTTTCTGAGCCTACTCCCGTTCCTGCTCGTGTTTCTCCTCCCGGGGCAACTCGGGCCCAGCGTACCTCTGCACCCGTGTCTGTTCCTCGGGTGGGGGAGACTGAGGCCCAGTTGGCTCTGGTTTCCAGGCCGGCTGAGGCTCTGACCCTTTCTGCACCCGTACCTGCTCCTCGGGTGGGAAGGGCAGTTGCCCAGCCGTTGCCGGTACCTGTTCCGGTCCCCAGGGTGAGGGCAGCCAGGATACAGCCCGTCTCCGCACCTGTGCCTACTCCTCGGGTGGGAGTGGCTAGTGTCCGGCATGCTCCTGCACCCGTCCCTGTCTCTACTGAGGGCTCAGGAGAATTCGGTCTGCAATCCACGCTGCCATCGCTACTGCATGCCTTTCAGTCGTTAGCCCAGTCGTTAGCTCTGTTAGCAGCCCGGTCCATAGTTCACTTTCCTGTGCTTCCGTTAGCCCAGCCCTTAACCCACTGTGCAGCTCAGTCATTTGCTCCATCACCTGCTCAGCCTTCTGTCCAGCCGGTGGTCTCTACACCTGCTGGTCATGCCTCGACAGCTGGAGGGCCCGAGGGGCCCGCCCAGCCTCATGCCTCGTCAGCTGGAGGGTCCGAGGGCCCGTTCAGCCTCCTGTCTCCGCTGGAGGGTCCGAGGGCCCGTTTAGCCTCCTGTCTCCGCTGGGGGTCCGAGGGCCCATTCAGCCTCCTGTCTCCGCTGGAGGGTCCGAGGGGCACGTTCAGCCACCCGTCTCCGCTGGAGGGTCCGAGGGGCATGTTCAGCCACCAGCTGCTCCACCGGCAGCCTCGTCCACGTCTGCTGCAGCTCCAGCCTGTGCTTCGCCTGCTGCAGCTCCAGCCTGTGCTTCGCCTGGTCCGGCCTCCGTGTCTTCAGCCTCGTCTGGTCCAACCTCCGTGTCTTCAGCCTCGTCTGGTCCGGCCTCCGTGTCTTCAGCCTCGTCTGGTCCGGCCTCTGCTTCTGCCTTGTCTGGTCCGGCCTCCGTGTCTTCAGCCTCGCCTGGTCCTGCAGCTGTGTTGCCGCCGCCCAAGCCGCGTTTTGCCCCTTGGAATCGCCGGCCGCTTTCCGGGCCATTAGCTGGACATTTTTGCCATCGGGGTCGGCCGCCTGAGCTGTTGAACTGTGACCTGTGGTGCTCGCGACCTCCGGGTCGGCCCCCTGAACCTTGGAACTATGACCTGCTATGCTGTCGGCCTCCGGATCGGCCCCCTGAGCTCGTGGACTATGGGCTACTGGACCGTTGGCCTCCTGGTCGGCCGCCTGAACCATGTGGACTCTTGTGCTGCTGTCGTCCAGGTAGGCCACCTGAACTGTTTGACCATGAACTCCTGTGCCGTCGGCCCCCGGGCCGGCCCCCTGATCAACTGAACTATGACTTTCTGGACCGTCACCCTCCGGGTCGGCCCCCTGAGGAGTCATGAACTGTTCCCTGCGCTCCTGTGCTTTTGGTGGACATTTTGGTTTTGTGGCCTTGTTTCTGGCCCTCCGCCCTGGGCCCCCGCCGCCCGCCCTCGGTGGGTTGTCTTTTGGTTTTGTCTTTTTGGGCGTCTGGAATCCGCCCTTGAAGGGGGGGCTCTGTCATGATCCTGGGTCTGCTGACCTAGCGTTTTGTGTTTAGTTGTTGGAATAGACGTCCGCCATGACCTGCCTGAAACCGGAAGTGACGTCATTTTCGCGAAAATGTCGTTTTTTACCATCAGGGCCTCATGAGCCTATACTGGTGTTTTTTAAAAGTTATGTTTGACTTTATGACTTTCTGTGTCGTTTCTGCGATGCTTAGGACTCATATTGCACTGCTGGAAATAGTTTATTTTGATGCATATGCTGCTTTTTGCAAATTTGCATCATAATATTTATTTTCGTTTTTCCTGCAGTATATAAGAATTGGTGTATTTAAAAAAAAAACTATGAAGACACTCAAAATAAATTTCCTGTGGTGGGAAACTATTTTGTGCAACTTTTTTGTATTTACAGTTTTGAGGGATAAGCCTCTTAAAATTCTCTAACTAGAAATATATGTTAAAAAAACAAAAACGATTTTAAATTTTTTTGTAGTTTATTGCACTTTTTTGCAATTTATGTAATTACTATGCACTTAATGTCATGATCCTGGGTCTGTTGACCCAGCGTTTTGTGTTTAGTTTATGTAGCCTTCAGGTTTCCCAAGTTCATCATAATCATGCCTAGGTGTTTCTAGTTATTTTCCCCTCGTGTTTCCACTATGTTAAGTCTCCCCTGCTTTTCATGTATTTCATGTCTGTGGCTTATGTTGTCAGTTCAGGTTGTCATGTCTATATCTCACTGTGTTTCCTGTTTTATTGTGAAGAGGTCTGGTGTGTCTGTGTTCATCATGTTCAGTTACTCTCCCCCTGTGACGTAATTATGTTCATGTGTCAGCTGGGTCCCCCATGTGTTGCCACTTCCCTCATTATCCTCCTGTGTCCATTTAGTCTGTGTGCTCTCAGTCTTTCTTTGTCAGGTCGTCCGTTGTATTCACCCGTTGTATTCGTCCGTTGTTTCCTATGACTCCGCTCCAGGTATCCCTGTCAGTTTGTTATGTTTAGAGTTTTCTATGTTTTGTTTTAGTTCACCCAGTTTAGGTCATTGTTTAGTTTTCATCGATTCCCTATTATTTTGTACCCTCGTTTCTTGCCTTAATAAACGGCTTGTTTTATTATTCACATCTCATTTCGGTCTGCGCTTGAGTCCTTCCCTGCAACATACGGTCTGCCCTAGCCAGACCGTGACACTTAATGCATACATATTATTACAATTTGAGCTATAATGGTTGTATTGATGTATAGCAACTTGAAATGCTCCCAGAAATGGCACTACAGCATGTAAAAATATAATATAAGCTCTGGCAGACTTGGTTCTATGGTAGGTCTTAAAGGGTTAAACGACCCACTTCGCTCTCTCCGGCCAGAAATACCAACTTATGTCATGTGTTCACCTTGATAAATGTAAGCGTGTTCCTCCTTGCGTTCATGTTATGTGGTCATGTTAATGGAGTGTAAGCTGCTTCTTCATTGCATATGTATTTTATCATCAGGTTTAACTCTGCCTCTTTGCACTGAGCTGTGGATTCAAACTATCTCAATCCTGCTTCTCCCCAAAAATAATTTCACATGTAACCATTTGTATATGTGTGTTTTCTACTCATTAATCTAATTGTTAGTTAGTTTCTCTCATTTCTAAACCTGCATAAGTTCAGCCTTCAATTCAATTTTCCCATATGCATTCACTATATAATGTCCAGGTTCACCTCTTACTGTTCTCACAGTTTCCTGTGGGGCCTCGCAGATCAACACAGGCCCAAATCAGCTGTTTCTTCTCTCCATTGCTTCTCTCTCGATCTTTTCAGTCTTTTCTTTAATGATTACTCCAAGCATGGCAAATCTGAAAATCAGTGTCCAGTGCTTCCTGTCACACACACAGCCACACAGACTCATATTTTCTGTTTCTCTCTTTCCTGTTCCTACAGACTAATCGAACTCTTATTTTTTTGTATTTACAGTCTATAAACCCTCTGTATTCTCTCAACACAATGTGCACCTTTAATCATTCATCCAAATAACAATTTTACACTTCACTTATACATTCACACCTATATCACTAAAGACTGCCAGTAACTGCCAAGATAAATTATTTCCATTACCATATCACCTCTTCAAAACTGGTATTATTCACCATTTCCATATCACAGTTTCCAAACCTCAGTACTGGTACACCTAACTTTTTCCTTGATTAATTTAAAAGCCTCTAAGCCCAGGTTCAACCTTGCTGGTCAATCAACCTGCTTCAGGAACGCCCTCACCGATAGCAGTCAAATTTCTAGGCCCTAATTCATTTATAACCACAACAGGAAGCTCCACCTCCAGCGTCTAAGTATCCCAC